CAGATGACCGAAATATCCTCTGTTTCATTCGGGAAATTACATAACTTCTCGGAGACTATATCTCTTTCTCCGGACCTTCAGTCCGAAGATAGCAATGTAATTTCCGGAGAGCTAGGTAATTTACCGAATGAAACAGAGGATATTTCGGCCATCTGAAAATTCTTCAGGTGTCCCAGAAATAATGATAATAGCTGCAAAAGTTTATCATTGCTAAATCAAAGCTTATCGAATCGGCAAATATTCGGTCGGTCAACTTTTGCCAGGTTATGAGAACAGCTGTAATGTTCATTGCATTTCCGACGGATAGTAACACAACTTAATTTTGATAAACTCAAAAAATAAAATACGTACAAAATCTGCGGGTAATCTAAATCTTTTAGTCTACTATATCCAGAGTTGATATAGGATTGGTACGTAAAAAGAGTGCCAATTACAGTATAATCTCGATATAACATGTGTACGTATAACGAAGCTCATCTTTAGCTCTTATGTTTAAATTAGTCTCGATATAAATATAAATAATTTGAAATTTTGGACTAATAGCCTTACCTTTTCGTTATACCGAGGTTATATTTTATATGAGTGTCGCCCTGTAATCCTTATAAGAATTACAGGCAGCACTCATATACATTTTCATGAGCCTTTAGTTCGAATCCTAAATTCTGAACCATACCCTAACAGCCAATCAGTGTGTCGTATAACCACATGATTAACTGTTTAACTAAACGAAGCACAAACTTAAATCCAATCAGAATCATTGGATAGTGGATAGGATCAATCAGAATTTTGATAAATTGTTTAACAAAAATTTTTTTTTTCCTGTTAATCATTTTTCAGGAAATTATGCAGAACGAATTGGATATTTTTTCATTAACAAAAGAAATTGAAGATGATTCATCTGAAGAACAGGATGAATTTATTATTTCAAAACAATTACAAGCGCAAAACAGAAAAAAGAAAAAATCGGGTGGCTTTCAATCCATGGGTATTAATTGTCAATTTTTATTTATGAAATTGAATGAGTTATAATAAGAAATTAACTCTTTTTAAACATTAACAAGGATTAAGTTATCCAATATATAAGGCAATACTTCATAAAGGGTTTAAAGTTCCAACCCCAATACAGCGCAAGACGATACCATTAATTATGGACGGTAAAGATGTAGTGGGCATGGCTCGCACAGGTTCCGGCAAGACCGCTGCATTTTTGATTCCGATTATAGAAAAATTAAAAGTTCATTCTGCAAAAGTATGTACAATTCGATTTTTTTAACGGTTCAGTTTAATGACTTCGTTTGCTCATGTCAATATAATACGAATACTACATTAATTACAAATCAGGTTGGTGCTAGAGCGATTATATTGTCTCCTTCACGTGAACTAGCTCTTCAAACGCAAAAAGTATGCAAAGAGCTTACTAAATATACAGATTTGAGGACCTGTCTATTAGTTGGTGGTGACAATTTAGAGGATCAATTTGCGATGTTTGCAAACAATCCTGACATGTATGTAGTTTCTTCATATACTTTTTGTCTGAAAAATTAGCATTTGGTTCGATTATTAAATCAATTGACCAATATTGTGTTGTAGTATAGTAGCAACACCTGGGCGTTTTCTTCATTTAATTGTGGAAATGGGACTTGAACTTAAAACCGTTGAATATGTTGTTTTTGATGAAGCAGATCGGTAATAATGAAATACATAAATGTTATTTTAATCATCTCCGTTACATTTACTATAATGCTAATTACTTTATATCTCAAAGATTATTTGAATTGGGATTTTCGGCACAGCTTCATGAAATATTGCATAGGCTACCTCAATCACGTCAAACCATGCTTTTTTCTGCCACTTTGCCAAAATCACTCGTGGAATTTGCAAATGCTGGGCTTCAAGATCCAAGTTTAGTGCGACTAGATACAGATACCAAGATTAGTGCCGATTTAATGGTATGGGCTGTATTTATTTATTGCTTTATCAAGTATATAGATAATTCTTAAATTCAATATATTCCATCTATCAATAGATGGCATTTTTCTCTGTGAAACAATTGGAAAAAGAAGCCGCATTATTATATATTCTATATGAAGTCATTAAAATACATCTTACCCCCACTTCATCAGCCACTATATCTAAAAATCCTAATAATAAAGACGACAATTCATCAAGTACAATGTCGCAATCTTTGCTATCTAATCAAACAATTATTTTTGTATCAACAAAACATCATGTTGAATATATTACAAATCTTTTGAACCTTTGTGGATTTCAAACATCATATATTTATGGTTCTTTAGATCAAACAGCTAGGAAAATACAAATAAATAATTTTCGTGGTGGTCGAACCAACATTCTGGTTGTAACAGATGTAGCGGCTCGTGGAATAGATATTCCAATATTGGAAAATGTAATCAACTATGATTTTATAGATAGTAGTAAAATGTTTGTTCATAGAGTAGGGAGAACAGCTAGAGCTGGCAAGAAAGGTTGGGCCTATTCTTTAATTACACCTGAAGAAGTATGTCAACATTTTCTTAGCAAAATGATCAAAATTTTAAAATCGATTTTATAACAAAGAGTTTACAATACTTTAGCTTCCCCATTTACTTGATCTTCAACTTTTTCTTGGCCGTCGATTGCTAATTGGTTCAGCCACAGATTCAACACCTGATTATACATCAGATATTATTATCGGGTCCTTTCCCAATGATCTTCTGGGATCTTATATGGAATGGGTAAAAGGAAAACAACAAGAAGTTAATGACTTAAAATCCCTTTGCGATGTGGCGAAAAATGGTTATAAGCTATTTTGCAAATCTAGATCATCAGCAGCTCCAGAAAGTTATAAACGAGCAAAAAAAGTTATAGAAATGAATAATTTGAATGACGTGCACGTTCTTTTTGGTTTGTATACTATATGCATTTGTGTTAT